AGCTGAACGCTGAAAGCAGAAGTGCATTGCTGCAGTTTTTAGGAATGCGTTTCACTGGGGGATTCTTATGAAACAAAGAGTCATTCCACCCGACTGAAGTTCACCTGGAGGTCGGTACGACCAGTCCGGCTAGCCAGCTAGGGTAATACTCCCCTTGTACCAGGAGTACAAGACCAGTCCGGCTTGCCAGCTACGGTAATACTTCCTTTGTACCAGAAGTACAAGACCAGTCCGGCTAGCCAGCTAGGGTAATACTTCCCTTGTACCAGGAGTACAAGACCAGTCTGGCTAGCCAGCTAGGGTAATACTTCCCTTGTACCAGGAGTACAAGACCAGTCCTGCTAGCCAGCTAGGGTAATACTTCCCTTGTACCAGGAGTACAAGACCAGTCCGACTAGCCAGCTAGGGTAATACTCCCCCTTGTACCAGGAGTACAAGACCAGTTCGGCTAGCCAGCTAGGATAATACTCCCCTTGTACCAGGAGTACAAGACCAGTCCGGCTAGCCAGCTAGGGTAATACTCCCCTTGTACCAGGAGTACAAGACCAGTCCGGCTAGCCAGCTAGGGTAATACTTCCCTTGTACCAGGAGTACAAGACCAGTCCGGCTAGCCAGCTAGGGTAATATTCCCTTTGTACCAGAAGTACAAGACCAGTCCGGTTAGCCAGCTAGGATAATACTCCCCTTGTACCAGGAGTACAAGACCAGTCCGGCTAGCCAGCTAGGGTAATACTCCCCTTGTACCAGGAGTACAAGACCAGTCCGGCTAGCCAGCTAGGGTAATACTCCCCTTGTACCAGGAGTACAAGACCAGTCCGGCTAGCCAGCTAGGATAATACTCCCCTTGTACCAGGAGTACAAGACCAGTCCGGCTAGCCAGCTAGGGTAATACTCCCCCTTGTACCAGGAGTACCAGACCCGTGTGGTGAGTCACTGAATAACTAACTGTTCAACATGTCAATACTCATATGGTAATGATCATTTGAACACAGCTGGTAATCTCTGCTGAGGCTTTCTCCCGCTACTGATTCTTCATTACCTAGACTCATTAGGAGTGATATGACCGCTCCTTTATAACCTGACTGCATGACTGGCTCTCTGACAGGCTTTCTCTATATCTGACTCAGAAGCCTTATTGGTTATATTTATAAATAAACCTGACGCCCAGGTAACCCTTGGACAGCCTGTGGGCTTATTAACCCAGCCTTGTTGTAGGGTTTCTGTTGTCTGTGTCTGTTGATGATGGATGCTGTCTGTTGCTCTGGTATATTATCTCTTGATGAAGTATGCTATCTGTTGAATAGTATATTATCTGATGGAGAGGTATGTTATCTATTGGTGATGAGGTATGCTATCTGTTTGCTATTTGCTATATGATGAGGTATGCTGTGCCCGCTTGGGGGACTGTAAACCCCAAAGAACTCAGTATATAGGCAAGACAACAACGTCTCTTTCTAGGCGATTAACCATGTACAAACAACAGGGCTCCATCAAGGAACATATAATCTCTTCTCACAACCAGACCATCACCAGAGAAATCTTAACAAGCAGCACAGAAATCATCGATAAACAGCGATAGCAGGAGACTCGACATCAGAGAGGCACTACACATCAAAAAGTCAACACCAGCAATCAACAGCCAATTAATGCACAACTATATTCTATCCACTTCAAGGCACCGTACCAATATAGAAGCAGCGAGAGGATGTATGGGCCAATAGGCCTTCTGCAGTTACTTCCATTCTTATGTTTTCATACCCATGTATGAAAATGATTGACCAGCGATTGTCTACAAGTGAGAGCTGGTCATGGAACTTGTTTACACACGTTTCATGCCCAACTTACGAAGATGTTTTGATAACATATGCAGATGGGTGCTATAACATGAGACACTGGTTGATAACAAAGGTACACGTGCTGATAATACTCGTAGACGAGTTGATGAACTACGTAGATGGGTTGATAAAGTAGATAGACGAGATGAGAAAGGTAGATGATAGGACACTAGTAACAAGGTGATGGAGGGTTTCCAAGCCAACCTCACTATATCTTGAGGTTATCTTGAGATGATTTCGGGGCTTAGTGTCCCCGCGGCCCGGTCCTCGACCAGGCCTCCACCCCCAGGAAGCAGCCCGTGACAGCTCACTAACACCCAGGTACCTATTTTACTGCTAGGTAACAGGGGCATAGGGTGAAACAAACTTTGCCCATTGTTTCTCGCCGGCGCCCGGGATCGAACCCGGTACCACAGGATCACAAGTCCAGCGTGCTGTCCGCTCGGCTACCATGCTACTGATATTTTCCTCCAGGTCTGGAGTTCAGAGGAAGGTGACAGAGTGAATCCACTTCGCAAGGGAGTCGATACTGGTTTGTAAACCGGATACCGCGAGCGTATTATTTGCTAGCCGGGTAAGGTGAGGTAGCCTGTTGCTAGATAACCCGATTTGACGTGTTAGACGTTTTCTAGTTAGCCAAATACAGCATGCTAGACTATTGCTAGGTAAAAATTGACTTCTTAGAACCAGGTTTTCCTATATAGGAATTCAAGCAAGATGTGTATTACTTTTGTACAGGACAATGTTTCCTGTGGGGTAATTGACATTGTTGTTGTTTAAGATTCGCTACCTGGAACAAAAAGTTCCAAGTAGCACGGGCTATGGTGAACCCGTAAAGGTAATTGACCTCAGATACACATTAGTTTGGCTTATGTTGAGGCAAATGCTTATTGACAGAAGGGAGAATGATTAAGATCATCATTATAGTTTATTAATCATCCAGCAAGTTATCAGCTATATTAAAATGTAAACTCGTAGTATATATATGTGGTACAATGTGGTACCATATTTAAAGTATAGGATATGTGGATATGTGTACACTTCAGGATATGTGGTACACTGTAAAGTGTACCACACTGTACAGTGAGGTACACTTTACAGTGAGGTACACTTTACGGTGTACACATTTCCTGAAGTGTACAACCATTTAAGAGTATTTTAAGATTTGCTCTTCTCTGTCTAGCTATAAAATCCTGGGGCCAGATTCACGAAGCAGTTACGCAAGTACTTACGAACATGTACATCTTTCCTCAATCTTTGATGGCTTTGGTTACATTTATTAAACAGTTTACAAGCATGAAAACTTGCTAATCAACTGTTGTTATTGTTATAAACAGCCTCCTGGTGCTTCGGAGCTCATTAACTGTTTAATAATTGTAAACAAAGCCGCCAAAGATTGAGAAAAGATGGACAGGTTCGTAAGTGCTGGCGTAACTGCTTCGTGAATCTAGCCCCTGATCTTTCATAGCCAGAGGATTAGGCGTCAACAAGTATCTTTCAGGAAAGAGGAAATATCTAGGGACACGGATAGCTGCCTATCTATAATAGCTATATATTAGATAGCTATTTAAAGTAGCTATCAAATTCAGTCCTTATCAGGTCAACTAGCTGGGTGCTACTCACCAATCAGGAGACGTTACCTGCTGTCCTGTCCAGCTGTTGGACAAAACTTGATGTCCGCCACCTGCAGCTTAATATATTTTTAGTTTTTGGCAAATCTAAAAAAAAAATTGTACTTAAATTTTTTTTTGGGTTATCGTGCACCAGCCACCGAAGCTGTTCACTGGACAACGGTGCTGCCCTAAACTCTGAGAGTTACGGACCCGGGTACACGGAACTGGTCTGAAACCACCTTGACATTCGTGTAAGATAACAACCCGTTTATCCGGTTTTCTCTTATCCGGCTATCTGAAGAGTGAATTGAATTTTGCGGGAGAGGGTAGAGAAAGATACACACACACGCACACTCACACACACACACACACACACACACACACACACACACACACACACACACACACACACACACACACACACACACACACACACACACACACACACACACACACACACACACACACACACACACACACACACACACACACACACACACACACACACACACACACACACACACACACACACACACACACACACACACACACACACACACACACACTCACGCACGCTTGCACGCATAGACAAATAGCAGCAGCAAACAGAATGAAAGCTAAGCTACTCGTTATGGGAGACCTAAACCGCTAAAAAATCTATTGAACTATTGAAAGTTGAACTCCCGGTTGCAATCCTTTTAACCATATCGTAGCTCAAACTGTTAAGGCGCGTCTGGGAACATCCCGTACGTAGGTTCGAACCCTCATCACGGCCTTTGTGGATTTGTTCATTTACTGAAAAATATATTGAGAATTGAGCATTTTCCCCGTAATGGGGAAGCAACAGGGACAGTAAAATTAGTGGAAGTTATGCAACGAAACTTACACACCATGTAAAAGTTGACTCCAATGTTCAAAAAAAGATTCAATGGAGATACACAAAACCTTTTAGACCTGATTTTTACTCAGAAGTAGATAGTCTTATGCAGGCGATGAATCACAATAACGTGGCTGAAGTATGTTGACCAGACCACACACTAGAAGTTGAAGGGACGACGACGTTTCGGTCCGTCCTGGACCATTCCCACAATCGACTTGAGAATGGTCCAGGACGGACCGAAACGTCGTCGTCCCTTCAACTTCTAGTGTGTGATCTGGTCAATCTAGATAGACTTCGAGAACTTGGAGCACGAAGTGCCACTAGGAGCCAGTGATCAGTGCCTTCCAGCCATAAATCAATGACAATGTGCTGGCGACGAGTCACAATAACGTGGCTGAAGTATGTTGACCAGACCACACACTGGAAAATGAAGGGACGACGACGTTTCGGTCCGTCCTGGACCATTCTCAAGTCGATTGTGACCATAAGAAAAGGGCTCAGGGAAAGGAGAGAAGATTATAGAAAAGGGAATTGTGCACTTGGAAGAAGTTCTTAGAGGGAAGACAGTCCAGGAAATGATGAAGCAAGTCAAACTGAGGTGCAAAGAGGCGGAAGAGTGGTTCGTACCAATCAGTAAAAAGAATAGGAGAGAAGATAATATCCCGTGGTTCAATGGACAGTGGTTCAATGGACAGTGGTTCAATGGACAGTGGTTCAATGGACAGTGGTTCAATGGACAGTGGTTCAATGGACAGTGGTTCAATGGACAGTGGTTCAATGGACAGTGGTTCAATGGACAGTGGTACAATGGACAGTGGTTCAATGGACAGTGGTTCAATGGACAGTGGTTCAATGGACAGTGGTTCAATGGACAGTGGTTCAATGGACAGTGGTTCAATGGACAGTGGTTCAATGGACAGTGGTTCAATGGACAGTGGTACAATGGACAGTGGTTCAATGGACAGTGGTTCAATGGACAGTGGTTCAATGGACAGTGGTACAATGGACAGTGGTTCAATGGACAGTGGTTCAATGGACAGTGGTACAATGGACAGTGGTTCAATGGACAGTGGTTCAATGGACAGTGGTTCAATGGACAGTGGTTCAATGGACAGTGGTTCAATGGATAGTGGTCCAATGGACAGTGGTTCAATGGACAGTGGTTCAATGGACAGTGGTTCAATGGACAGTGGTTCAATGGACAGTGGTACAATAGACAATGGTACAATATACAGTGGTACAATAGACAGTGGTACAATAGACACTGGTACAATAGACAGTGGTACAATAGACAGTGGTACAATAGACAATGGTACAATAGACAATGGTACAATAGGCAGTGGTACAATAGACAGTGGTACAATAGACAGTGGTTCAATAGACAGTGGTACAATAGACAGTGGTACAATAGACAGTGGTACAATAGACAGTGGTACAATAGACAGTGGTACAATAGACAGTGGTACAATAGACAGTGGTACAATAGACAGTGATACAATAGACAATGGTACAATAGACAATGGTACAATAGACAGTGGTACAATAGACAGTGGTACAATAGACAGTGGTACAATAGACAGTGGTTCAATGGGCAGTGGTACAATAGACAGTGGTACAATAGACAGTGGTACAATATACAGTGGTACAATAGACAGTGGTACAATAGACAGTGGTACAATAGACAGTGGTACAATAGACAGTGGTACAATAGACAGTGGTACAATAGACAGTGGTACAATAGACAGTGGTACAATAGACAGTGCCAAGAAGCAAAAACGAGCAAAAAAGGAAAAATTCAGAGGTCGAAGTACTGCTGAAAACCTGAACAGATGTACCAGAGCTTGGAATAAATACTTAAATATAAGAAGAATATCGGAATGATATTTTGATAATGCTTCCACAGAATCTTATAATTAGGGAAAATAACAGTGAACGACCAAGTTACGAGATTTCGACAAAAGAGCAGTTGAAGACACAGGAAATGACTAGGGGAAATTGTCAGGTAATTAAATACAACTTTCAATGGAGTATTCACGACTGCACAAGAACAGCCGCTAGTGCTAGAAGAGGAGGGAACCCAAGATTAGAAACTGACAAATATTGAGATAACAGCAGAGGACTTAACGAGACAACCAGCATCATTAGATGTTACTAAAGATACTGGACCATTAAAATGTATCGCCATTGATGTTACAAAATGGTGAACGGACCCCTTAGCGTACCACTACCATTGGATCGTTAATGATTCAGTTGCAAAGGGAAAATTGGCCAGGGAGCCGGTCGGCCGAGCGGACAGCACGCTGGACTTGTGGTCCTGGGTTCGATCCCAGGCGCCGGCGAGAAACATTGGGCAGAGTTTCTTTCACCCTATGCCCCTGTTACCTAACAGTAAAATAGGTACATGGGTGTTAGTCAGCTGTCACGGGCTGCTTCCTGGGGGTGGAGGCCTGGTCGAGGACCGGGCCGCGGGGACACTAAAGCCCCGAAATCATCTCAAGATAACCTCAAGAAGAGAAGATGATACATGAAGTACTCTTGAAGGTGACTGTCTCTGCCAGCCTGCACGTGTAGTAATGTTGGGTGACGCCTCACAGTGGAGGGCCAGAGGTGATTGGGCAAAGCTTGGAGATTACTATTTTTAGTCAAACTTGATGCACTCTGCGGTGATTGTTGGATGTTGTGTATTAAACTATTGGAAAGGCGGGCTCCATGAGCTGAAACTTTTTCCTCTGGCACAAATTGATGACCACACACACACACACACACACACACACACACACACACACACACACACACACACACACACACACGTCAGAGTGGTTGACAAATGAAATGCATTAGGCAGTGATGTGGTGGAGGCTGACTCCATACAAAGTTTCAAGTGTAGATATGATAGAGCCCAATAGGCTCAGGAATCTGTACACCTGTTGATTGACGGATGAGAGGCGGGACCAAAGAGCCAGAGCTCAACCCCCGCAAACACAACTAGGTGAGTACACACACTCAAATAGGTGAGTACACACACGCGATTAAGGAAAACCGGTTGGTTGAATAGAACACAAAGTGCTGCCAACGATGTGGGCACAACCATGTTGGCTAACCATGTTTGGTTCCAGCAACCTCTGGCCAAATTGATCCCAACCCATTCAACCCCACATCAAGAACGGTGTTGACAGCCAGGAATATAGCGAGATAGTCGTCCAAAACGTAGTCTGAAATTCACACTTTCTTTCAGACCTAAACAATAATGTTCCTTCCCTTTGACTTTCTGTCAGAGAAGTGTTCATAAAAGCGAATAAAGTCATTAAGTTCGCTACAAACTCTTAAACCATAATTGATTCAGATGTAAATAAGTGAGAATCCTCGCCAGCCGTCTCATTCGTGTATGATACAGGACATTTTACTGACCTGCAGCCCGTCTCAGACGATCCTGAGTTGCAATTGTTTAAGTTATCTCAGAAAAATATACGTTTGGTTTTAACTAATAAAAATTGCCTTGAAATTTAATTTGGGTCTTGATCATGCGTATCGATAACACTGTTGCCAGATGGAAAATGTTGAAAGATCGAAATTATAATGCGAGATTTATTTGGGAGTCAGTATTCTGCACCTGGTTCTAACAAACCAGAAAATGCTGAATAATGCTATAAAAACTTGGGATCGAGAGAGTTGAGAGGATGTGATCATCAGGAGATGAGAGGTATGGAGTTACGATGAAGGGTACGGCTAGGAAAGCAATTAATATCCACATCCTGGATTTTCAGAAATTAAACTCTGACCAAATAAGACTTGAACTAAATGGAGTATACTGAGAGTCCAAGATGGGGACCACAACTTGGGGGAGCAACGGATCTTGGTTGATCTGACCTCATTGGACGCAGAAAGCAGCATCTTCCTTATCATCGTTAAATTGGCACAAGTAAACATGCTTAGTGTAAAAATCTACCACTCATGAATCTGAACTTATCGAATTCGTATCCATTGTCTCGTGTTATATTTTGTGTTTACATATTTAAAACTTTATTTATATATCCCCTTTGTTACAGGGCTTCATCCATGAATATATAAATTATTTGATCTTTACTCTTCGTATTTCTAATAAAAGAAACTTCGCTTTTTAAATCTCTGTTCATAAGGAAAGTTTCTAATATCCGGGATTAATTTTATCATTTTTCTCTCTAGGATTTCAAGTGAATCCATGTCTCGTATAATACGTTCACCAGAACTTTTTTTATTATTATTATTATTTTCTACCACAAACGTAGCCACACATTTACAATGCTAACCAGCATATATACATTTTCTTCTGTCCTCCATAGACAGGGTTAGAGATCAGTTAAACATATAGTTCAGGGATTTATTGAACAATCAACCACAGAAGGTGATTCGGTACTTATAAAATGCTAAGCTAGTTCACCAGAACTGAACTGCTCAGGTCAAGTGGGACATAACAAGTGAAAGATGAAACTGAAGAATTACATCTTAAACTTGAAGGTAATTCCTCTAGAAATATATTCCAGCATCCAATTTGTTTTGCTCCGTACATACTTTTTTTTTTGAGGGGGGGGGGGGTGTGCCTGTGTTTTTACTAGCCTGTGATCCCTATTAACCATGGCTCAGATTCACGCAAGTACTTACGAACGTGTACATCTTTCCTCAATCTTTGACGGTTTTCGTTACATTTATTAAACAGTTTACAAGCATGAAAACTTGCCAATCAACTGTTGTTATTGTTATAAACAGCCTCCTGGTGCTTCGGAGCTCATTAACGGTTTAACAATTGTAATCAAAGCCGCCAAAGATTGAGAAAAGATGTACAGGTTCGTAAATGCTTGCGTAACTGCTTCGTGAATCTGGTATCCCTGGAGGACTTATATACAAACTGAGAAAGAAAGAAAGAAGCCTTCGTCCATCTTCCTAAACTTCTGAGATTTAATTTCCTGTTCGTGAGATCCAGTCAATTCATCCTCAGTTAAAGTCAACATCAATGCACACAAAGTTGCTTCTAGGGATCGCTACTATTTACACCCAGACATGTCTGCCGCCTTTATTGTCAGGGTCTTCGTCAGGGTCTTCGTCAGGGTCTGGAGGCCTTTGTACTCCCCAGAGTGCTCTGTGTTGCCCTCAGTCTCTTCTACCAAGATAGGTCTTGTAGGATTATGTTCTTGTTCATCTCTCATCTTGGGACTCATCTCGTTTGAACTATAGTGATACATTATTTATAAGATCGTGGGAATTTCACGTTGTTTCATGTCAATTACTAACCTCAGGCTGCTCATAGATATTCTGGGTAATCAAAAACATTTTCTAGGTGCATATAATTTAGGTATCGCGTCAGTTGTGTGTCTCTGACCACCACTCGTCACCAAGACCGAGCCATTGCACCGCTCAACATTTTCCATATATCTAGGAAAAAGGCAGAACACATGATGGTGGTCCCTTAAGGTGCAGACGAGGAGTCACAATAACGTGGCTGAAATATGTTGACCAAACCACACACTAGAAGGTGAATGGACGACGACGTTTCGGTCCATCCTGGACCATTCTCAAGTCGATTGTGAATGGTCCAGGACGAACCGAAACGTCGTCGTCCCTTCACTTTCTAGTGTGTGGTCTGGTCAACATCCCTTAAGGTGTTAACAAGTTCTCAAGGATTAACTACGTGCTGTGAGCAATGACAGAACGAGGTCCCATGTACGGACACCAGAATAATAAAAGCTTAGCCAAGATAGAAGTGAGCAAACGAATGAGGCATTTGGAGAGGTAGTTGAGGCTATCTTCACACAGGTTCAAAACCTGTGAGGTAGATATCAGTACGTTCGAGAGGGTCGTGATAGATATCTAACAGCTGGATACGAGGGACTCAATGAACTGAAACAACCCTCAGGACTCATCAACTACTCTCTCACAAAGGACACGGGACCGTCCGGTGGTAGTCCTCTGCCAGGACTATATCAAAGTGGCAGAGTGAGTCCTTACGGGCTCACCATAGCCAGTGCTACATGGACACTTCGTTCTGAGTAGCTAAATCTAAAATAACAACAGCAGAGGCTATCGATTGGCTGATTCTTGAACATTACGGGGCCCCTAAGCAGCCAATCAGGGACCAACGCACTCCACACTGAGCTTGGCCACATCCTTATATAATGGCCAATAACACTCATCAATAACCATCTGAATGTACAGTGATAAACTAAAAACTTCCTGTCATTAACTAGTTAATTAACGTGCAATTAATTTGTTATATTTTTTCTCACCGCTAGTTTGTCCATTACTGAAAACTATCAACTCTGATGTCGCTTTGCTCCGGAAATATTGCCTTTTTTACTATGATATCGCCCTCACTGGTCTGAACAGGAGTTGCCTCGTATGGGTCAATGAGTCAGTTCTGCAGTTACCTTTATTCTTATGTTCTTATGAACAATGTTGACATCCCAGGCCTAGCAACACACTTTCCCTCTACAGTTCTAGTACTGGCCAGAATTCTTCAGCTTCTTCATAAGGTGGAGAGTGTGTTGACGGACGTGCCTTGGGACAGCTCCTGGAGACTTGTGTTCGTAACGATAACAGGAGATAGTAACGAGAATTGTCATTGCCCACTGGAGAAGTCCGGTGATAGCCGCCCCGTCTCCTTATCGCACAATCCAGGTCAAAGTTCAATGGCATGACGGGTCACGGGAGACTCAAGTGAGAACGAGAGTGGTTCAGTTGTTACATGAAGGCCAGTTGTAGTGAGATGGGAAGTGAAAGGGTCAGAGAGGGAGAGATAGTGTGTATGTGTGTGTGTGTGTGTGTGTGTGTGTGTGTGTGTGTGTGTGTGTGTGTGTGTGTGTGTGTGTGTGTGTGTGTGTGTGTGTGTTCACCTAGAGGGTTGAGGGTTGAGCTAGGCTCCTGGCCCCACCTTCTGATGTTAGATCAATGTAATAACTCATTTCTCGTGTTTTTATCATATTTACATTTAAAACTTTGATTCGAATTAGCTTCTACGACTTCTACGTCCATCTATGACCCATCGGTCTGTTGTTGCTAGCTCTGAACACTGCTCCTTTGTCTACCTTGTCAATTTCCCTTAGATTCTTACATGTTGTTATGTCTCCCAGTTCTCAGCTCCCAGAGAGATCCAGTTCTCTCGGTCTTTCCTCATAGATTAATCCCTTCAGCACCAGAAGGAATCTACCACTTACGGGCTATTCATGCCCGTGCCGTGACATCAATGAGAATGAATCTCGGTGTATATCTTTGGACTTTTTCTAGTTTCTCCTTGTCGTGTTGAGGTAAGGGTTCCATGCTGGGAAGGCTTATTCCACAGTGGGTTTCACCTTCGCTTCACAAAGGGCCTGGAAAGCCCCTTTGTCCAAATTACTGAATAGGTGTGTGTGTGTGTGTGTGTGTGTGTGTGTGTGTGTGTGTGTGTGTGTGTGTGTGTGTGTGTGTGTGTGTGTGTGTGTGTGTGTGTGTGTGTGTGTGTGTGTGTGTGTGTGTGTGTGTGTGTGTGTGAATGTAAATCGGAAATAATTAGAACACCATTCGTCCTATGATTATTATCTGCTTGAAAGAGGAAACAACTTTAAAGCAGAGGTAATTACATCATTGAGATACCAATCAGGACGCCGCAGAGGCAGAGAACCACGAATGTATAATACAGAGAGATTATTAGAGAGCTTTATAGATATGGGAGACAGAATAATAGTAATACAGGTAACTGGAGGGAGAGAGAGAGAGAGAGAGGGAGAGAGAGAGAGAGAGAGAGAGAGGGGGAGGGAGGTTGGTGACATCGTGAGAGGCGGCAACGAGAGACCGCAACGTGGGCCTGCCTCACCCTTCTGGTGGTTACCTTGCAGTTACCTTGCGGTTACCTTGCAAGAACTCCACAACATCGCAGGAGCGGGGCTGTAAGTCCACTACGGGCTCACCATAGCCCGTGCTACTTGCCCCGCTCCTGTGCCAGGTAAGTCCACTACGGGCTCACCATAGCCCGTGCTACTTGCCCCGCTCCTGTGCCAGGTAAGTCCACTACGGGCTCACCATAGCCCATGCTACTTACCCTGCTCCT